GCTCCCTCGGGAGGAGAACTACCCCCGGCGGAATGTGGATCTTCTTGGTGGGCGCGATCACTCCGCGGTATACCGTAAACACTGTCGCGGCTAGCCACCGACCTCCCGGAGTACCGCGGGGGGATGTTTCCGGAGACGCGTCCGGAATTCTCGTATTTCGTCGCCGAGAGAGGTGTGCCCCGCTCTATTTATACACGTATAAAAGACGCGCGAGACGAGAATTTCTCGCGTTTGTCTCAGCCTCTTGCAAGAGCCGCACAAGCAATTTTCTCAGGCAGGGTGCATTTCTTTTTTTTTCTTTTTTTTTTACATACGTCTCCGTTTTCCGGCGAAAAGAGTGAAGAGTTGAGAGACGGATATAGAAAAATAGACAAAGAACTAGAAAGAGAAACTCAGAGAAAAAAAGGAGAAGAGAAAGAGCGGACACCCTCTTCGCCCTTCCCTACAGTTCGTCGGCCCTCCCGCCTCTGGTACTTCGATCGCGACCACCCGCGGGACGCTGTCGACTACTGCACGGAGAAAGAGACGCGCCGAGAGAATCGCAACGCCCTCCGAGCTCCGCGTCTCTCCCGACCTCGTGGACCAGCTCTCGATGCGCGGACCTGCGCTCTTTGGTATCATACTGCGACGACGTCGCCATCATCGCCAGGAAGTGCCGACGTTAAAACTTCAAATGTGATATAAAACACGTTGCGTTAAAAAATGCAAAAATCATAATATGCAAAGGAGAAATAATCCTATTTTCGGGCGAAGCAGATCTTAGTACTTAAGTATTTCAATGTGAATTTATATACATATTTATGTGCATCTCTAATTCTGCAAGAATTGGATATGTATATAAATTCAAACTGTGTGAATTACTAAGATCCGCTTCGATCGATCTTAATTGATTCATTCTTGTCGGTCTAATATAAATTATGATTTAAATTATGATAACTTTTCTGCGTTAGGGAAAAAGTAATATGATTGATTTTTTGAACCGTGTTGATTAACGAAAATTAACTTGCAAGAAAATACTCACCACACACTTATTGTGGTTTACTTTATCTTTATTTCGTATTTGTACACGCCCTCAGCATGCCACATACAGTCAGTATAATACAATCCAACGCAGCCAAGAGAGAGAAGAGAGAGAAAGAGAGATAGAGATACAGAGAAAGAGAGAAGAGAAGACAGAGAGAGAGAGAGAGAGATAGAGGAAGAAGAGAGGAAAGAGAAGAAGAAAGAGAGAAGAGGTAGAAGTAAAATACAAAAAATATATATATTTATATATTTTATATATATAATATATATATTTGTATATGTATACTCTACGCGCGCCGAGAGACGTTATTGTTACCACGATGTGTTTTTTTTTAACGCTGAATATATATTGGATAGTAGCTAAGAGTATAATACAAAGAAGAGTGCTGTGTGGGATACGGTAGGATGCGTAATTCGGATTGAATGTGGTACGGTTCGCGGATCGCACGAGCAAACTCGCGCGCTTGCCGATCCTGTTTCTCTGATTAATTACCGCTATCTCGATTGAATAAGAACTCTCGCTTTCGATCAGCCATATAAACTAAGGGGAAGGAACGAGCTTCCGATAAATCGACAATCACAGTTCGGCGCCTTTACATTCGTCCGTCAATCTGCATACGCAGAGAAACAGAAGAACAGTTCAGCATTGAGTCATACGTGCGACACATACCGATGCGACGAAAGCTCAGGAATTTCTTAGCCGGCAGCATAAAAACATTCGATCGTGAAACTTTCGAGAATTTCCCCCGCGAACGTTCTTCAAACGATCGGATCACATTCTAATTTAATCCCGTATCTTTTATCGCACTCGTGAACAAAAGTCCGTTCGACTAAAACATGTCAAATCCTTCGGTCAAGATCTAACGAATAAGCAAAAAGAAAATAAAAGAAACTGTACTTTGATTTTATCCTTGTTTATCCGGTTAAAATAATTTACAAGATTTTTAATTCCGTCACAGACACACTTATGCCGAGAGTGGCGAAATGAAAAATATTTCGCCAGTGGCAACATTGGACATTTCGACGGAAATAGAAAAAATTGAATAAATTTATTTGATGTAAATTTATGATCGGAAACTTAAACGTAAATATTAAGTGCCTTCTTAATGCGTCGCGGCTTTTGTCCAATTTTGTCGCTAGCGGATTAATACTCTTAGATGATAGTTTCGTACATACAGTCTGCATATACAGGTGGCCGTCGACTGAAAACGGCCATTAGAGGAAACAAATATTCTCCATAAAACGAATGATCATTATTGGACGTAAAATCGATCGCTACTCCGCAGATGACCTGATAATTCTTTTTAACAAGCATACTGCTTACACAGCCTACATAGCTAAGTCTTCTCTCTTTCGCACGGATATATCTTTGTATGCGATACTAACGCATAAATGTAACCGGTAAGCATTTATGGCAGCGTTATAAGGCCTACTCATGGTAGCGATCGTCGTAAGGACCAGAAAACTTAATCCAAAACGCGAGGGAAACAACAATAATTCATAAGACTCAAATCATGTCGAGCTTTGTCAAGCGATTTTTTTTTTTCGATTGTCGTAAAAGCATTCCTTTTTCACGGCTTAAGACGAAAAAAAATCGTTTGATCAGTTAACATAAGATGACCATATTAACAATACAATGTAAATGAATAATAAACGTAATAACTCAACTAAAAATAAAATCGATACATATCATATAGTCTGACTTATTCCCCATCTAGACGGGCGATAGAGAAATAGAACGAAGAAAAAGAAAAGTGGTAGAAGAGCAAAAAATTTTTTTTTGTAATGTCCTTTTTTGTTTCCCGTTAAATTATCTAAATGAAGAACATACTGACTTAAAAAAAAGGGAAAAAGGAAAACCATCAAATCATACATATAGTCTATTTTATAGAGATTAGCGGAATAGCCACAACTCGGTAACGTAATTAAGTCTCTTTGCCATTTTACTTTGCGATTTCTGCCGTTAATTGACGTATCCTCGTTTACAAATTCGCCCCTCTTCTTTCTCACTCTTGCTCTATCACCCTTTTGTATCTTCCTTTAAATCACCATACGCAGGATGGTCTTTGTGTTCCATCGGAAGAGTGAGACTTTTCTCCGACCATCCTGTAGTTGACATCTTCTATATAACTCTAATTTTTTTACGCAATTGTAAATGTGTGTATGTATGTGTATGTGTGTGGAATTTCTTTTTCTCTCTCTATATATAATATATTTTATAAAATACATTAGTTTACAAACAACGTTGGATTAAGTGTCGACGCCCTGCGCGGGAGTCATCGCAGCTCAGACTCGATCGTGAAAATCAAGTGCGGTGAATACGAGAAATACTCGTGTTTATAACGCAAGTTAAGTCTGGAAGAACGGCAGTACTTAAATTCCGCATAATATACACATATGTATATATGTACACACACACATATATATATATATGTATCTATACATATATATATATATGTATCTATACATATATATATAAATAAATCCGTCGCTGTTCGAACGCACCGCGCGTTCAAGAAACTCTCCTCGTACTCTCTTGTGGTTCAAATTCCATTTGTCGAGTCGTTCCACGTCAGCCATTGTCTCGTAGAATTGAAACTTTTATAAAAGACGCGTTTATCTCGAAGTCTCTCTTTCTCGCTCAAACTATCAAATCGCATTCTATTCGGCAATACTGTACAGATAGTTAACGACACGTTAACGTGGGACGACTCCACTGTTATTCTACGTTAATGACGTAATGAGATATTAAGGCGCGATGTGGAAAGATCGAAGCGTCTTTCATGGATGTACGTATACTGGAGATGATAGAGTTCTAAAATAGCATTGTTTTTCGACGATTTTCAAGTGGGTTTTACACACAACTAGAAATTAATTATATATATTTTTAAACGCTATTATATACGTCGCGTACGGTTTTTGAAACATTGTAACGGCTTACTTGCAATTTTTATGCAACAAGCGAAAACTACACGAAACGATAAAAGCCCTTGATAAATTTGTAATGGCAATATTGCCTACATTCTATGTCTATCATCTTCTTTAATGACGAACGATGTAATCATGGGAAGGGAAAGGAATTCTTTTTCTCTTCGTAACAAGATCGTTTAACGGAGCTGTGCGACCGGTTGGCAAAGACGTCGATCAGAACAATAAGACTATCTTATCGCGCTACATACATATTTACAATTTCTCTAGCATCGTGCACTAGAGCTTTCTTCTTTCGTGTTCGAAACATGCACTAGCGTAGGAAGCCACGGGAAGAAATCTATTCAAAGAATACATCTTTTTTTACTTGGCTGTTATCTTCTCTTTTTAGAATGTACTATGTTTAGAACGTATTAAATAAATATTCTCTCTGTAGAGAGAAATATCGATAAAAAAGCATGATTTTTAAAACTTTATAAAATTAAAGGTTTTTTTTCTTATACAGATTGCGTTTATACAAATGCTGGAGATATCTCGCTAGTGCATGCTGCGAACATATCTATATTGAGGCAAGATCAAGTCATCGAATATTTTTCATCTATCCGTTTTGCCGAGTCTGTACAATTTTATTTTGCGTATCGCCAGATCGATGTTCACGCCGAACATGAAGAAGGTTTAAAAGATATTTATTAGGCTATCAAGTAATGGAGGTTTCGATTCAGTCAAACGCACTGCCTTCTATTTTCCGTCTTTCTCTACTCGTAACTGATTGCCATAGGATCGTTAAAGTGTTACTTTTTTTTCAAGGGTAAAACTTCTAAATCGTAACTATTAAATCGAATACTCTTCTCGACATTCTCTCAAATTAATCTATTAATAATGAAGTACGTTTCAATGTCTAAAGTAGTAAAAAAGAAATCGACTGACAGTTCTTTTCGTTCATCTAGTAGATTTTTAAAAAACATACTTTTTAATAAATAACTCTTCATTAAGTATGTTACTTTAGTTTTCTTTTAACATAAAACATAGTTTCACATGTCCGTTGGGTGTAATGTGCGGCTTCATGTGATTTATACTTTCAAAAATGATAAAGCTGCGAATATTAAAAAATTAAAAAATTTTTTTAAAAGTCAAGAATATACAAATTACACAATGATAAATTGATTCATGATTGAAATGAACTGTCGGACGACGAACCGACATGGAGAAGCGTGTAAATGTAGAACAGCTCATCAGAGAAGTTCAGAAAAGGATCGATGACAATTACACGAGTAGGAACTGCAAGAATACTGGCACGTTTTGCGTGTATCTGCCGTCCATCTACGTATTATTATCCTACGGTGAGGTAGGCAGATGAAAATGGGGCGGTTCAGTAGACTACTTCGTAAAACTTCGATAGACTTCGTTGTAGTACGGCCTTTATAGATTAGCAAGAGAGGGGAAGAACGGGGAGGGAATGGGACGATGGGGCACGGAACACATTTCTCTCGCACCTTCATGTTCACGTTCGGAATCGCCACTCATCGACATACTCGGCTCGTATTAATTAGTAAATTGATAATCGAGAGAAATAACGTATGCTTTTACAGTGTCAGGATATTCTGGGACCACAGTCTCTTGCGGACCTTTGTCCTCTCGCGTCCCTACGTATCCCTAAAACAAAAAAGCATGTTGTTCCTTTTCTCTAAATGTACCGCCGAGATGCGTATCTTTTCAAGAGAATATTACCTTAAAATAACCTTCTCCATCAGCATAGATAGGCGTCCTTCAGAATGATTGGGGGGAAGTAAGGATTTAATCAGTTCGCGAATAAGGGACTCCGTCATTCCCGGCGACGTGCGTTCCGCCGATTCGAAGGCGCTTCGCAGTTCTTCTACAGCACCGCCATTCTTACCACCACTACCGCCTTCCCCATTATTGTCTCTCACCGAATATTGGTGCTTTCGTTGAAGCTGTAATATTATTAAAAGCACAAGTTATTTCCATAAATTCTCGGTAATTTTAACTTTACTAACTACTGTTGGCTACAATGCTTCATATTTTTATCATTCTAAGTATTACTTGTAATACTTAGAATAGTAAAAATATGCTTAGAGGGGTATTATTACCTCGGAAAGGAGAGGAAAAACGACACCGGACAAAGCAACGCTTCGCGGATGCTTGAGCTCCTGTGAACTTCTGGGTCTTTGCTTATCCTCACTAGGTCTATGATCAGCCATCGAAGTGATGGGCACGTCCGGTCTACTGTTTCTCCTCTTTTCTCGAGAGTTGAAGTCCCTGCTGGTTCTATCCCGATCTCTGCCTTCTCTGTCCCGTTCTCGTTCTCTGACAACTTCTCTATCCCTCTCGCGGCTCTCTTTTGACTCTCTGAGGGTAGACTCTCGGCTGACGTCACGATAGTCTCTCTCCTCTCGTTTCTCTCTCGTGTCCACTGGTGGTGGAGGTGCGGCTTCATGTGGTCGGGGCTACAAAAGGAAAAAGAAAGTAAGAAAGAAGTATAAATATGAATACGAAATATTACACAATTAATTGGAATAGCAACTTACAGGCACGTGCTTCGCTTGACCATCGCGCAACGAATCCCTGGATTCACTTCTGTAATGATTAAGCGTAGAATCCTTCGGCGGCGATCGCGAGGCACCATTCGCGTGTGGTTTACTCGGTTGATTGTGATTGGAGGACCTGTGGTTCGTGTGTGTTAGGGTCAGAGATGCGGGCTGCTCGTCTAGTGGCAGCATAGGCACCACGGATCCTTTGACCCCATGCGGGCCTTTCACCGTCATTATCCATGGCTCGTCCATGTCGCTGTCTTGCTTGGATTCCTCCCTGAACACCGTGTAATGCAGTGTGTTACAATTTAGTACCGTGCTCGGATGGTGGCCTATTATACCACGCGATTGATAAACGGCCTCGAACTGGTTTTTCTTCTTCTTGCACGTTCGAGATATAAATTTATTGTAGAATTAATGACAGAAAAAAAAAAGATCCTGAACGTACGTAACGTACGAAACTAACAAGCAACGGCTTTTACTTTCGCAAGAAGCGTGACAGAAACGCGAATCAAGATACTCACGAATCCGAATTCTCGCTCTCGGTCTCCGATTCCTCGCTGCGCTGCGACTTCCACTTTTTGTACCTGTCAATCAGGTCAATCAGGTACGAGTTCTTCTTCGCCTTCCTGATAAACTGAAACTTCAGCAGTTCCTTCGCCGTCGGCCTCTACACAGATATGAGCACAATGATCAAAATAAAAATCGATTATCTTTCTCATATGTCGAAATTTTTGATTTATTAAACTAATTTTCTAGTGTTATTGTTTGCATTATTAAAACGTCGAGCGATTCGACAATATTAGAAATGTTTTAGGAGTGCGGAACACGATCGACTATTAAAATCGAAATGTAGATAATTATGAATTTAATAGTACTCACGTTTTCGGGATCCTTATTGAGGCAGGCTTCGACAAATTCCTTAAACTGTTTTGTGTAATTCCCGGTTAGCTGCGGTGGATTGTTCTTGGGTATTAGAAAGAGGACTCTCATGGGATGAAGCTCGCTGTTCGGTGGCTCTCCTTTCGCGAGCTCAATTGCCGTGATGCCCAAAGACCAAATGTCAGCCTGCGGGACAAGCGTTCGCGAAGTTACCACTTGCTAAATGAAACGCTAATAAAATGCTAATGAAAATGTGACCGTGCCACTTTGAAAGCAATTTCCAAAGAAGCGAATAAGAGAGAAAAAGCAAAGGAAGTAGAAAAGAAAATAACTAGCTTTATACTTAAGAAGATTAATAAATAATTGGTTTTAATTTATATATACAAATGTGACAATGATGTATATTCAGAAATAATTTCAGAGAATAAAGATATTTTCGTATTTAAGATACGCATGTACATAAATTTAATAAACCTAAATTTACAGCAACGGACAGATGCATTCCACAGTATATAGCGAAATTTAATTAATGCAATTACCTTGGAATCGTAAGCGGACTGTTTGATGACTTCGGGTGCCATCCAGAACGGCGTGCCGACGAAGGTATTTCGTTTACTGGTGGTGTTCGTCAACTGACCGGCTACACCGAAGTCGGCCAATTTGACGTCGCCCATTTCGCTCAGTAAAACATTCGCCGCTATAAAATCAACAAAAATTCATCCATTAATCTTCCTTTTTCAAGTTAATATAAAAATAATTAAAGCAGTATGTTATTAATTAATCAAGAATTCTATTAATAACGAATAAATTTCATTCTGTGTCCATTTCTATACGTAAATTGACGATAATTGAATATTTTTTAATAGAGTTTTGCATCACAGTTAATCATGCAATTAATTCACGTGGATTTCAGCATATTTGACGTTTCGTTAAATTGATTCAATAGGACCTATCTTTAGTACACTTCTGTGTATGAAGAGCATTAAGGTACCAATAAATACCTTTCATGCCTTACCAAGCGAATGTACCTTTAATATCGCGATGGAGCTTACGCTCGCTGTGCAGATAATCCAACCCTTTGAGCACCTCGCGTAATATCACGGCGATGTGCATCTCTTCGAAGCTACCGGCCTTCATCAAGTCCAGGGCCGAGCCGCCACCCAGATATTCCATGATGATCCATAGCTTCGTACCCTGTCAAGCAGAACGAATATGAGATTGAGGATCGTCGGTGTAACGTAAGATGTGTAACGGGCGAGCTCTCCGGCGATTCCGGCAATAAAGATCCGGAGCAGGCAGCATTTCGAGCGGCCGCCAATTAACGAAAATAGATCGCTTCACCGAACAATCGCTATTCCCGATCGCGGCTGAACCTTGAGACGTAATTAAGGAAAATGTGCCGGAAGATATTAGCTACGCCAATATTTCTGAGATTTCAGTAATCTATATAGATATAGCATCTCTTGTTGTGTTTAAAGGGATTTTGGAGTTGCGTGTTTTATTTAACTAACAAATTATTTTCTAGCACGCTATTTTTTTTATTGCAATTCATTAGATTTAATAATTCCCTTTTCCATAATTAAAATAGAGATTTTCCATAATTTCAAAACGTAAAACTCAGGTTAAGTTTATGCCGAGAAGAAAACAATTTAAGCAATTTAGATCTTTGTTATCAATAAAGCTGTCAACGTGTGTTAATATTTGCTTCAAAACTTTTACAGTCTGTCAGTATAAAATGAGAGCAGCCAAGCCGCGGATAATATGAGCAAACGATGTTAAATTCTCAAAATTAGGCCAAACATCGTAATATGAAAGATTGAAGTGCTTGAAAATTTGTGCATATATGTTCGTGCGGTTTGATGAAGGCAGCGGTCCGATTCACGCTTATAACACTCAAAAACCATTTCATTCTTGTTGTTTATTAAATGTTAACAAGGAAAATCTCATGAGCATTGTGAGCGTAAATCGGATTACATTCGCGTAGTAGTATGTACTGTACTGTACAGTGATCTGTCGATATTTCGTAAATCGTATATCTATGTTGTAAATCATTTGTATGCGAGTCGCCGTTAACACCCCCTTAAGATATTTACGTAACTAACACCTAATTAACAGCGTAATACTATAATACTTAATTAGTAAACTTCTCAGTAATTTAAGTACGTGACAACTTCCTTCCCCCCCCAAAAAAAATACATTTTTACTTCTAAAACTGGATAAATAATTTATTTCTCGGAGCATCATACTACTCATTTTATTCTTATTTATATCATGTCGTATTTTTCTTTACTCGAAAGACACGTTGCGTGACTGCGTATTATTATATCGTTCGAGTCGCACTCCGATCACGAGAGAGATCGACCGTGAAGTAACGATCAGCGATACGGAGCGAGCAACATCCTCGCCACGGGGGGGTGAGATGACCTCTCCTCAACAACGAACGGCAATATGATTAATCTCGCGGTGTTGTTCGCGGTAATAAAGATTTATCGTCCCCCCCTTGAACAGCTCGTAAATTACCGTCTAATGCGGGCCCGTTAAGGAAAAACGCGTCCGCCGTTTCCTGCACTGGCCTATTAATTTTCCACAAGCGCACCGCGCTTATTGCTCCAAGGCAACGCGCGTCATCGCTGACCGGATCCTCCTCTCCGTAGCGGTAATTATATCCGACATCGATGACCAATCACTGTGCGACTTATCGGATAAATTATACGACGCGCGTTAATTGTGGTGGTCGGCGGAGGCACTGTAGTGGTGGTGCGGCGCGTAAGGACGATAAAACCGATGAGTTATCGCGCGTTAATAATCAGCGCGGCCTGAGCTAGTGATCCGCGTGAGGATATTGGAAGATTTACGCCCTTCGCTCGATCGCGATTATAAAGAAATAATTAATTGATCCCTCCCCCTTCCTTCTCCCCGGGTCACTCGGCCGACCCCCAGAGGGGCGCACCGCCGGTCGCGGCCTTGCAATTACGCATCATCGTATGTATTATACGCCACTTTTCTCGCCGCCAGGTGTTGCCAAGCGAAAGTGCACGCGTCGTGAAAAACGAAACATCACCCCTTCATGCGTGGAGTCGCTTATGTTCTAGGAAGACTTTACGAATGACTGCGTCCGTTGTAAAAACTTTTATACGGACTTTACGTTCAATAATACTATATCAGTGCGGCAATAAATACTGACAATATTATTGATCGTGCAGTGGTTAATATTAATGGATTGACGTAGAATACTGATGGTGATCTGGATTTCTTCATTCTTGAGCATCAGTATCTTCTATCACAGCGATACTGATGTTCAAGAATCAAGAAATCTGGATCATTATTAATAATATTATCAATACTTATACTGAGACAGTATTATTATCGACCATGTCAAGTTCGTTAAGAATCACGACATACAGAAAACTTAAGCAGTAATTAAGACGTAAGCAATAAGAAATCAACGTGATGGATTTGCTATTGTTCATGTTATTGTCTTACGGTGTCTACTGTAATTGGCCAATTCGCTTACTGCTTAAGTTTTTTACAGTCCTAAAAAGAGCATATCTAGTATTTCCGGCAGTACACACAATTATATATATAATACTATATAATACATACTATATAAAATTTATCGTTGCATTGAATGAAGGAAATTGTTGCAATGCGTAATTTAATAACTTATAATAATTTTCGGTGCCAGATTTATATATTTTTAATAAGACTACAAAATATAATATTTATTACTAAAATTATAATGTCTACATACAATAATAATATCGATAAAAAGTGAATTCTTAATCAAAATTATTTTATCATGCAATTGCAGTCACAAAGTCACGGAGTAGATATGAAATATCAAACGCTTCAAGATAAAGAAATTCGTGGAAGAAGAAGAATGGATAAACGATATAAGATACATTGCCTCGTGTGAAAGCATATGCTCTATTAGATTCTCCATATCCATCTTCTTTTACAGGATCTCTTCGCGAGAGGCTCTCCGTAAGTCTTGGCTTTGGCTTTCGTTCGACGTTCGTGTGGTTGACGCGCGTCGTTTTATGGCAAATAATTTTCGTAGTTTAAGCGGACCGATCGTGCGGGACTGAGGGCGTTCGCCAGGATGGCGAGCATTGGCTGCCCATAAAATTGCACCATTTATCACCGTCGTACGGTCAGGAGGCTTGCTCGGAGAGCGCCTCGCTTTTTCCCATCGATATCTTCTCAAGGTAGGTGGCCGTCGTTGTCGTTGCCATCGAGAGAGAGAGAGGGTTCGTTCAACTCGATTTCGACTAGCCACTTTGTGGATTTCTACACGAACAGAGGGGGTTGCTGTGTCATCCCTCTGTTCTCTCTGTCTTCTTTCGACAGGAAGAAGCATGAGACGGATGACAGGCGACGATTTATCGACTTGATCCAAGAATGTTATCAGAAATATCGATTTCGAGATAATCGCGTGAATTAATCCAGAAGGGATAGGGGATAATAAGAAAGTAAATTGTAGGTCAATCTCTAATCGACAAACTGTGAATTAACGAGCTCCGCTCAAGAACAGATGGTTGGGTAGATCATTGATCAAAGAGTTGTCATTGATTGGAAATTCATTTAATCGCATGATTTCTTATTCTTTCTCTTCTGATTCTTTCCCTGATTTAAAAGGGGGAAATTAAAAAATAATCTTACAAACATATCTCGTATATATAGAATGTTCTTCGAATCAATCGCCATTTTTATGTATGTTTTAATTCTTCTTTATGATTTTAATGGCTATTATTTCTATAAGTGCACGTTCTTATATTCTGTACATTTGTTCGTTACGATTGTCTCATTACTTTATTAACGACAGTTTTGTGGATTATAAGTACTAACCGAATTATCATAGAATCAAATAAAACATTACATATGTGTGTGAATTATGTACAAAATTTAGTATATCGATTAATTAATTTTTTATACGCGCTACAAGAATATAAAAGGAAAAATATATAGCTTCTATTTAAAAAAAGACTTTGATTTTTGACTTTTTATTAAAAAATAAACAATTTTGAAATTTTTCTTACATAATTAATTTTTCGTTAAAAATCAAACTTTTGTTAAAAACATTTTGTTGCCAACCCATCGAAAGTATTTAAAAAATTGTTACAACCGATTCGAGAAACACCCTGTATATTTTTATATATGCGAAATTTTATTTAAAAAAAGGCAAATTTTAAGGAATCAGTTTACGTAACGGGTTACGAGTCCTCGCGTTGCAACAGAACTATTATTAGTCGGCCAATTTCCTAATGGTTTGGATCTCTCGTTCGACACGAGCCGAGAATAGACTCGCCCCTCGTGTACTCGACTATTATTTTTCAATCCCCTCGCATCTTGCCCCTGCCTCCTTCGTGGCAATTATGGTTAATTGACGGAGTCCGATAATCGACTGCTTTCACTCTCGGCGAGTGACGACAGAGACGCTTAATTTCAGTGCTTCGGGGGCAGAAAATCCATTGAAATACAATCATCATCATAATCGGATGCAATAATAACTGCAATTTAAGCACAACAATCAGGAATCGCGACTTTTTTTAGAATTAAAATGACATTAAATTTTTATTTCGTATATAACATTTCGAATCTAATTTCTGATATTCTACGCTTAAAAATAAAAATTGTACTGTACGTTTAACAATAAAATAACGTACTTGATATGATTTAAAAATAAAAGAACACAATTTAAATTCCTGCAAATCGACAGATTTAAAAGTCTGATTCGTCCATGAGAAAAAAGTTGTTGATCGCACAGATGCAGTTAAGCCGATTTACTCGCGAACAAGTTGCAATTTATCGACATTTAATTCGGCGTTTTAGTCACGCGGGAGCGTGGCGCGAAAGGGCGCGAATTCAAAGCGAAGATTAATTCCGTCGCGTCGTTCGTCAATGCCAATGACACTCCTGCCATTTCGCGAAACGGAGATATAAAAGGGCACAGTGTTCCAAAAAGTGCAAAGAGAAATCGCCCTATTAATCATCCATACGCTAAGCGTTTTTGTCTCTATTTTGCCATGTCATGTTAACATTTTACAGGATGCACATTTCATATAAAGTATACGTGTTTAAGCCCTAATTTAAATTCTGTTATTTATTCTCTATCTCTCTCTCTCATTTTCTTTTACCTTCATATTTCATTTCTATTTTATTTTATTATTCTTACTTAATTTTTGTTTATTTTTGTTTAATCTTAGTTTATAATTTTTTCATTTATTATCTTTATATTATTTTACTATTTTTATTTCACTCTTTATATTTTTGTATCCAATATATATCTCTTTTATACACTTGAGTTTCTCTATTGAAATTCAACAATTTTTGCTTGTTACAATTACGACTGTAACGTTTATTAGCACTTGAAAGGATTCATCCCAGAGCGTACAATACATAGCGATTTACCTTTGTTTCTCTCTTTCCTTCTTTTTCTCTCAAATCCCTTTTCACAAACTTTAATATCACGTTTGTAATCTTCGTGACTTCGATCACTCGAAGTTCTTTCCCTCATGCACGATGACAACGACGATATAACTTTCATGATAAAGCACAACGTCACGTGTAACGCAACATAAGGTCACAAAGAGTTAAAAGCACCCTCCTCATTCGACCCGCTATTATCGGGGAACGTGTTTTCCAGCGTCGATCGAGCAACTGACCGTAAATCTCGGCCGCAAAGTAGAACCGGAGTGGTAGAATTACGATTTTTATGAAAAACTGACAACATGTCCTACTTGACATTCCTTGGACTTTGTAGCATCCGCGATCGTACAAATTAAAAGTAAATAATTAAAATCGAAAATCTCGGTGCACGTGCATGCTCCGTCTACCGGATATGCTTTGTTCGCGAGTCATGGATGATGGATGCACAATACGACCATTTCATTCTTCGATTCAAAGGCGTACGGAAAAATCGAGAAAAAAAAAAGAACGAAATGGCGAAGATACCGGGGTTTTCATTAAGAGGAAAGACGACTCCGCCAAGATAAGTTCCGTGCAATTATATTCGTTCATTCGTAAAATTTCGACCGCACCGTTCCTATTCGGGTGCAGAATGCGAGTATTGTCTTTTGTTTGGAGCACAATGAACCGTGAATATAATAGGATGAAGGAGAAGAAGCGTCGCGATTTTTATTCATATATACAAAGAGCCCAGATATTACACGTCACGAGTAAAGTTCCATTTCGCAAAAATGCTTCTGCTAATTATCGCAATACGCCCCTGGGATTCTGCGTTATTAAAACGCATTATATCATAATTTTACATAACGTATAAGCCTATATACTTCGCTTGCAACGATTTTAATAATGAAAATTGCTGTTGAGACATCAAGAGCCATGCGCGTAGCGAACGATAAACATAAAGTAACATGAGCTACACGTGCAACGATCGTTTTATTAATCTGACGGCTTTGAAGCATTATTTTTAAAAGATCAATAATGAAGCGATATTTCTGGCCGTCTCTTATGACGAGCAGTGAGAGGAAACAAGAGAAGAATCACGATGGGATGCCCTCGTAATAAACGATACATCCGGATTGAGAAATCCGAAGGAGTGTCGCTAAGTCTTGCGAGAGTCGTTTCGTTCGTCTAACTTACCCAACGTACTGTCATCTATGCATTTTCATGCTGTTTCAGAAATTAAATAAATATCGCAATCTGCATAAAAGCGAATAATCCAGATACTCTTTCTGTGGTATCTTATAAATAAATGAACGTAATCGAGTTGAAATTACAGTTCCCACGAGATTGAGTCTCGAACGTCTCACGAGATATGAATTCACCGCAGCTCTTATTGGTGATTGTCTATATCCTACGTGAGCAAACAACATGAGTCTCTTTCAATCGACGAAGATTATTTTAGCGATTATTCTTGAGGCATCATGGAAACATAATAAAAGTTAGTAAATTATTAAATATTTGTTTTTGAAAAAATGTAGGTACATACATATATTATAGATTTTTCAATAAAATAATAATAAATTGATAGAATTATTAGAAATGTTTAAAAATATATGTATGTATATTTTTTAAAGCTCAAAATTCCCTAGAAAAAACAGCTGCGCACTTTAATCTTTTAAGCGTATGTTGAAACGTCGGCTATTTATTTATTAATTTTTATAATAAAATCATAAATTGGTAAAATTATTGGAAATATTTTTAAAACATATTACAAAATAACATGTTTCAAAAACATATAATATTTTTTAAAGGATATTCCAAAAGGAAACATCTGTGCACTCCAAACGAATACGATTTTATACCGTTCTATGTGTGCGTCGGGAAAATTTCATCCGACGCGACGCCTTGTGGATCGGATCGAGGAGTGCCGTCACCTGATAACCGTTGTTGACCGACTTGGTCCTGTCTTAATAACAGTTTCCGAAGGCAGGAAAGCTACGGCGATCGAGGCGGTAGCGAGGTGGCCAAGGTACATCCGTTACACGATGACATCAGGCGCGTAGACGGGCGCGTAGGCACCCGCGTGCCTTCTTTCGACTCCGTAATAACCGTCGATGTGTCATCGCGGAAACGCGCCATTGTTCCTTTCGTATCGTGCGCGAGGGAATGGAAAAATTTCGACGGTGAGAGGTGCGGACGCGGAAATATCGCCAGCGTGGCTCTTGACATTTACCGGAGCGACATATTCCTCCTCCGTCGCGGATTTCCGCTGCTTAAATAGATTTTACCTTGCACAAATCAAATCATTTATCTCGTCCTTGTGATAAATAAGATCCCCTCATTGGTCAACAGTCTCGTATAGCTACACTAATTATATACATTTGTACACCTCCTATAAAGTCGACAGCTCGTCATGCCATTTGTAACGCTCCGCTGCGGTTCGCAGCGTTCTTTCGTAATATCAATCGCGAGCTTAATAATTACGATCGCTTAATGTTTGCACAATTATTTATGCGAGCGTGCGTGAGCGGGAACGCCCGCGCCCGCAGTTTTCAAATCGCGAACGTCGCGGCGTAAATTGGCGAGAACGTATTTCAACTCGGGGTATATTCATGCTCACGGGAGCGTCTAACTAACGATCGTTAATGACCGTTTCGCGGCGGTCATTAAGGAAACTTCTCTCAGCCGGGCGTGATATCGAGCGTCGCTTCATTTCATAAATAATCACATTGAGCTTCCACAGCCTTTAGCCACGAAAACGAAGGAGGGTCAATAGGAGGGCGCGTAGGAGTAATCCATTTTCTCGTCCTGCAGTTTCGCGAGGGAACGGCGTGCAATCCTTCTCCTTTTGTTGCAATTAACGATCCTTCAACAATCCTCAATAACGATCGCGTGGATTTACTTTGTCACTCTATTAAAGGGGCCACGAAGTTTATGATTTATTCGTTACTACTACAACATCCTAGGCCGAGTAATTGCTTGCCGTTATTAGGAACCACCGCTATTACTAGGGATGAGAGCGAGTTCAATGTGTACTTAAAATCCAATACTCGAGTTTCATTACTTAGGATTCGAGTTATATTTATAAGAAATAATAATATTATATACATCGTACTTGTGCAATGTAATCAATCCCGACTAGTCAGTATCGAATTTTAGAATGAATATTTGGCGAAATTCTCAAAATATATAATTCTTGTAAGTAGGTAGTTTAAAAAAAATCGAATTTTTTTTACAAGTAATGCTCAAGCTCTAAGAATGAAATTATTAATTTAAAGAATATATAAAAATATTTTTTTGCGAGACATAATAATATATATACTCTCTAAAAGTGAATCAGTGACTTCACGTATAACTTTCAGCTATAACATACTGATTCACTTTCAAAGATTATAATTTTCTGCAGATTGGAACGCATTCATTTAATGCATGTTTTTCTTGTCTTTTCTCCTCTTTATGGCATCGTAAATAGCTTGCCAGTAATGCAACAAAACGATATGAGCGAGAAAATGCGTCTCTCCTCAACCAGCATTGAAAGCGTGTCGACGATCACGTAAAACATAAAACCGTCGTGGTTCACCAGGTTTAAGCCAGCGGAACACAAGACTTATGCAAACGACCGCCCGCGACCTTTTAACGAAGCGCTCGGATCTCGATCCCGTTGATCGACATGATTTTCCTGGCGATAGAACTACGGTATAAAATCGTATTCGTTTGAAGAGTATACACAGACGTCCTTTTAAATAATTATAAATAAAAGCCTTTAAAAGAATATATATTTTTTTAAACGATTCTTAATAATTGTATCAACTTTTTATTACTTTGTTGTGAAAATAAATAAATAAATATGTGGATGTTTTCTATTATACCATAATGAGTGTTTCATTAAAAAATATATGTATACACACTTTCTACAGAAATATTTAATATTAATTTTATTAATTCTAATTATTATTTCATCAAAAATTAATAAATAAATAATTTGAAATGAGAGCACGTCATTATATAATCGTGAAATAAAAATCACTTTTATTATTACACAACGTCATAGAACGAATTGCCGCGGATTTGCGATATTCCCGATTGTGCTCGTTGAATCTCTCGCAGGAAGCGGAAGCAACGGACGACGCGACACAGCCGAGCCGGAAGCAATAGTTAACCGACCGTCAAGCCCTTCCTATTCTTTGCCGTATGAAAAATGATGGGGCGTAACAGTCAAGTGCCCTCGATCGTGCAGGCTTTTATTTTTGTACCTATGCGATTATACGGCTGCAATTCATTGGGACAGAACAGTGATAAAAAGAGGTGTGTCTTGGCTAGTATTTTATTCGAGCAAATAAAACTTGACCAGCCTAATAATAATCAAATTTTTTTTTTTGAAAGTCAAAGAAGAATATATTGTTTGTACCTACCTTGAGATAAGACCCATAATACTTGGTGACGTATGGGCTGTCACACTGCGACAGGACCATAATCTCCTGCTGTATGTCCTCGATTTCATCTTCCGCCTCTTCGAGATCGATAATCTTGATGGCCACAACCTGCTGGGTCCTGTTGTCGATTCCCTTGAAAACCTCACCGAAGCTACCCTTTCCAATTCGTTCCTGTTTGGTAAATATCAGCTCGGGGTCCACCTTCTGCAACAGAGAAATTCAATAGTCTCCGATTACTACTTTGGTCATTTGACATTCCGCATTACGTCTTTGCGTATCATTTCCGTAAAAAGCTCCGCGCATTTCTGTGGCGCAACAATAATGTAACGGGATATTGAGAAATTTCGAGATTCCTCAGACACTCAAGACTTTCTTCTTCGTTAATGCGCGCGTGGCCTTCAGGAATTAATAAATGCAGTTTCCACAGCAATGCAGTTCTCCTTGGGTCTTTTCTGCGAGATGACACATGATGTCATAACGGTCTTACGATATTAACGTATGAATCGTTGACTTCACTTTCTTTACGTAAAATCTAAATAACTCACGTCTCTTTAATAATCTCTTGCGACGTGATATCTCGCAAATCATGAAATACGAATATGAGCATCATGGATCTCGGGGTTCCCAGTCGCGCTTACAGCAAATTATGGTAACAGGATATCTCACAGCACGAGCAGTTTGACAAATGAAACGTCCTTTCCTGTAATCCGCTATTTAGACTTGCGCACGAGCGCCATGCACATGTTTCTTCTTCGTGCTAGGAAGCTATTTGCGCTAAGAAGCAACGTTACTCTCCACCGAGACGTTAATAAATTACCGCCATCGCCGCTGCTGTTTCGCACTTTTCGCGTCTGGACAACAAAAAAGTTCCGCGACACTTTTCCGCCTGCTGTTATCTGGAAATATATGTATTCGACGTGTTGAATAGCGAATCTTTAATCGAAAAAAACGACGGAAATGGGCTTTATGGTGACGAAAAAAAATTCCTAAATTTATCTTATTACTAATTTTTTAAATAGGAATTGTGATGAATCGTACTGACGATTTACAACAAAATACTTGTTAATTCTCCGGTTTTTCAACATAAGGAAAAATCTCTAGCTGAAAATTTTGACGACCTAAGAGCGCGTGTCGATTTTTCTTTGGTTTTTGGAAAGATATTTCCGGCAAAAAGATTAGAGATGTGATGATTTTATTTTAAAGAATACAATAGACCTGTTGTTTGCAATTTTTTCATTCAGCATCTTCCTTTTCTTTCTCTTAAACGCCTAAATAAGGCAGAGCGGAGCTATTCCAACAATTTTAACTTCACAGAAGCTTCGACTATGGCAGTAAACTGCTTTTCCTTTGCAGCGACGTGCAACTACGCACGAACACGTTTGCTTCTTGAAAACGTAAATATGACCTTCAAGTGTTGAATCTGTTTAGAAACACTATCGCTGGTTGAAATTGTCCCGTGAACGAAAAAGTCTCGCTCTACCTTATATATTTTCTCATTTTATACAAAAATTTTTAGAGATTTCAAGCAACGCGAACAGGTCTATTAAACCTTCAATTTCGACAATTTCAATAACAATTTTCCAACAAGGCAGCCGTCGATATTGAGTTAAACGTTAGTCGAAAGGTGGCAATCGTGTTCACAACACTTGACGCGACAGCCAATTAGAAACGTCAATGAATATCATTGACACTCTTAATTGGCTGTTACGACAAGCGTTGCGAATGCATTTTCCGTGTAGCGATTTATCTAGACCGGGTCTTTAAACGTTCCTCCGCGTTTCGCGGGTTATTGCTGTTACAAAACAGGACTGGTTTCCGGAAGGAAAACGTCTAAAGGGCTGTAGATCTAGATAAGCTGCAACATGCAAAACGCATTCGCAGCACTTGTCGCAACAGCCAATTAAGAGTGTTAATGGTATTATTCACACAACTCAAGCAGGATGGTTTTTTAAAGGTTATGAAACGAAAAAGACAAAGTGACGTTTGACCATGTCAAAAATATTTTTTGTCAATATTACTTGATTATATATAGTTAAATATTTTCTGTTAAGTAGAAAAATAGTTTTTCCCCTTTTCTGAAAAATTTTCTTGAGTTGAGTCACTTTTAAAATAATAGAACGATAACATTTTTGTTGCTTCCATAACGTTCTTTGCACTTGCTGTAAGCGAGAGCACGAAACGACAAAATAGTCTAAAGAAACTGGCGTTGTCGTGAACGCAACGTTTAAAAGTTTCACTGTAATTAAATATTGCATCTTTTACACGACTTCCACGAAGCCTACCTAATTCGCTATACATTTTTAAAATTCTTTCGAAAGCTCCATCGTTTTTCCTGCTGTTGGTTTTAGTTTCAATAGAACAAAACCAGTAAGCCATTTAATTGTAGGTACTTGCAACATTGAAGCTATAACATGTATTATAACTTTTTCGCTGAGAAATCATGTAGATAAAGGATCCTTTTTATACTTCCACTCTTTGGATAGTTACGCTTGTTGATAAATGTCGGAAACGCTAATTTGCCTGCACCCGGGTAATAATGAATATGCACGTGAGCTTTGTGCACGAAGCGTTGACTCTTCATTTTCTCGCGCTCGCAATCCACGGGGATCATACAAAAAGTCGGTAAACTGAAAGCTCATATCACGGCAGCGAGATTAAAGCGAAGCGAAGCTTCAAAACGTGGATGGACTCTAAGGGCAACGGAATAAAAATTCGACCGTAGGTAAAATCCGGAAAATTTGCTTTGCAAATTCCCTCATATATCTGACGGTGATGTTTCGTGACTGCCGAAGCATTTTATCGCGCTGATGGATTTAAAGGTCATTGATTCTCGTCGTCGGATCTCGACTATTTTCATTTCATGCAACTCAGGTCGTCGACTTTTTCTCGTAAAAATTGGTTTTTGTATCAGTTCATCGCATGACGTACTAAAATGTGTATTATTATTATTATTTTAATATTATCACAATGATAATAACCGGAGATTACCAAAAATTAACATATATTGCAAATTTGCGGCTATTACACGACAGAATACAACTCACCGTTTGTTCTAACAAGTCATTATTCCGCGTTGTTAACCATACTTGTCATGAAGCATATATTTATTAACATTAGTGCACTCGCAATTTACACGAAATATTTGAAGCAATTATGTCAAACACATGAAAATAGCTTTGGGTTGAATAATTATGACACGGATTATCGCAATACAATGATAAATCAATTACCTAATGAGAAAAAATATCGCTTCCGTAATAATAAGTCACGAATGCAGTAGATGTATGTAATCAGTTCGTGCTCGTCGAGTGGCAGCGAGGACAAGCGAGAATGGGTCAGGCGAGAGAAGAGATGACTCTCGATTCCGTGTGCAATACTCGCATCGTCGAGATCGTTGGTGCGGCGTCTCGCCGTTCGAAACTCGCGACACAGATTCCAATTAGTGGCTGTCGCAAAGAGATCCAACACGTAGACGGCCAAAGATAGTCACGTTCAAGGGGTGCGACGAAGACACTCGCGCCGCATAAGTAAGATACGGACGTTCTTCACTGGTATTATTTTTTTTTTAGCAAGATTTAGTTTTTCTATATAATCACGCTTCGTTAGAAAACTCTGATTTTTCATCAGGAAGTATTATTTATCATCACTAAGGCTGTTCGACTTTATAAATGAGGTCTACACGATATTAAGGACGAGAATTTCCGGAATGCTGCATTTGCGGCGCAATAATGTGATGCTTGAGATATCCGACAGTCTCTCATTTTATTAGATTAGTTTGGGTAGAGCAGCTCGCGCTTTGATGGACACGCCTATTCTAAACAATCTAAACTACATTAGATACGCCACGCTGTATAACGCATATATAGATTTGCTGTCGGGCTATCTTCGACCTAGATATGGCCAGCGGATATGACAAAATTGACGTAGGGTTACCAAGGGCGCTCAATTAACGACCACATGGCTTTATACCATTGTAGACTGTCATTCACAAAACCTCATGAAAATTGCGTAATACAATAAATAATATATCACAGCACAATAGGTAATATGTCAGCGAGTTAACCGCGTTATGTATGTATAAATTATACGGTACATAGTTAGATTATAGTACTACAGCATAGCTTTTCTCGTTCGAGCATATGTTACACTCGGCATTAATTTTCAATAATATCAGGGGATTCGCAGAATTAATACAGAGACCAAAATTAACGTAGATATTTCATATAAAATATTATATCCACTAGGACCATGTGCTAATTTTAAATTAACGTCATATTGTGAATATATGATTTGTAGGATTATTCCACGTAATGAATAACAGATTAATGAAGAGTGACATTTATTCATACAAAGTAACCGCCCCGTCACATTTGAACATATCTGTCTTCTAGAAAAATATTCGCGTTGAATTTTCAACATTAAATCTTCATTATTTGCGTACAATGTTCATTAAATATACATTGGAATTAAGCTCAATTTCTCTGAAATCCTTTTCCCTTAACGCCGCGCGATGAAGATCCCATTTAAGTGATATCGTTTCGTTGAACACGCGACTGAAATAATTTGCCAGATAACACGAAGTTTGGTATCGTTCTGACACATCTTAATTAAGAAGTGTAACCGCGTCTCAAGAAATTTCGTCTCAGACGTCCTTTTAAGAGACAGGCTCGAATAGACTCGCCGCCTTCCAAGATAAACGTCCCAACTTCATCAGGAAGCTCGAGACTGTCAGAGTACAACGGGATCACATTAATTCCAAGGAGTTGCGATTGTTCTCCCTCCAAATGGGAACAGTCCGATACCTATTTGCAATAGTCTAACAATTCAATGAAACATGCGATCCAATTCGCTTGAATTGGAGCGTTGTTTCATAGAATTGCGTATACCTCCACTTGTAACATGATATATAAACATGATGACATAAATAGCAAATTGTAAATTAAATTTTTGCTACATTAAAGCAACAAACGGCACCTGTTTGAAAACAAATGACGCCTGTTTATTGTCGATTTAGAGACAGTCGCTTCCGTATCTCGCTGCGAGTTGGCGCAAACAGTTGCGAGATTGCACTGGTTAACTTCACTTTTACAGGAAATTCACGGAGCTACATCGCGGTCGAATCGAGTTAGAGAAGTAACCCAGAATATCTTTGTGCCTCAAACAGACTGTTGTATGCCAAAGGAGAATTCCATTATCATATGCTT